TTCCTATCGCTCGCATCTACACCCCCTCCCCACGCAATAGCAGGAAGAACGCTGCACTCGAAGCAGAGCAAAGTATAAATAGCATTAATACACATACATTATATATATATATATAAATATATTGATGTATGCCCATCTCCTACGCCTTTGTTTCCAACGCCGCTCTCGCTCGCGGTCGGTTACCATTTATCGGCGTTATCATAACGCCAGAGGTTGACCTTCCCGTCCCCACCGCTGGTGGCCATCATCCGCGTCTCCGCATGGTAGCTCGCACGAAAGACGTATCCGATGTGCGCCTTTGCCCGCCACACAGGTTCCCCGGTGCCCGCGTCCGTGAGGCGCACGGTCCCGTCCCGCGCGCATGTCAAGATGCCTCTGTTATGCGGCAGATACTCCGCGTAGTGCACCGGCTGCATGTGGTGGCAAATCTTCAGCAGGGGCTCGCTGGGCCGTCGCAGGTCCCATATATTCAGTATTCTGTCGATGCCGCTCGAGGCAAACTGCTGCTCATCGCCGCGAAACGCGCAAGTCCAGATGGTTTTTCTGTGTCCTAGAAACCTCGCCGTGACGGAGTCGTTGCCAACCCGGAAGTCGTGCGCGCAGACAACGTGATCGTCGCCGCCGGAGAGCGCGAGCCAGTCGGAGAGCTTCGACGTCGTTAGCGCAAAGATGGGCGCGGTGTGACACTCGCTATCCAGCACGCAGGTGGCCGTTTGGACATCCCAGCAGCGCACCGTTTTGTCCATGGCGCCCGTCACGAGCCGCTGCTCCCCCGCGAGGAAGCCAACGCCGTATATTTTCTGGGTGTGCCCCTTAAACGACAACGCCGCCTCGGGGGAGTTTGTGTCAAAGAGCCAGGCAACGTTTTTGTTCCCGGCGCACGCCATGCGGTTGCCGTCGGCGGAGTACGCGGCCGCCAAGACGGTGCTGGATTGGATGCCGTACTGCGTCAGGACCACCGCCGTTTCTACGTCCCAGCGCAGCAGCTCCTCCCGCGTCCCGGTGAGCAGCTCGCGACCGGAGGGGGAGAAGACGATGGTGAAGGGGGTGTTGGAATGCGTCACCACCGAGCGCAGCAGGCGTGGCAGCCTTGCGGCGTCGGCGCCGGCGTCCTCGCCGTCGCCTGCGTCAGCCTCGCCGCCCGGACCGGCACCGTCGCCGCGCTCGCCGTCTACCTCGCCGCCCGCGCCCTCCAGCGCCTCCTCAAGAAAGGGGTCAGCGGCCACGTGGCGCTTTTCTCGCACCGTGGAATCTCCGCACTTCTCCACCGCCACCCGCTTCACCTTGCGCGGACGCCCGCTGCTGCCCGACGCCAGCTGCACCATTGCGCCGAGGTCTACCGTGCACACCCGCCTCATCTTCGTGAGAATGATACACTCACGCTGCCCGCTACTCCACGCCGCGTCCAGCCGTTCAGAGACCTCCGCCGGGTAGGCCTCCCACTCCCCCGGGCGGTCGAGGTCCTCCAGAAACCACGCGTACTGGTCGTCATCGTCCGCCGCCGGCGGCGGCGGCGGGGGCAGCGCGGAAAGTATGCGCGGCGTCATGATGGCGCGGCCAAAGTTGGCGTGAAGTGGCCTCTTCGTGTAGTCCGTCACTTCTAATCGCGATACTTCGCTCTTCGCCTTTGCCTCGTTGCGTCCTTTGCCGTATCCCGTGCTACCACCCGAACCCATCTTGCCCACCACCGCAGCACGTTACGCTTGTTGCGCGGTTGCTTTTCTTCTTCTTTTGTTTCGTTTCGACTTTTGCTAGTCCCCCCTCCCCCCCTCCCCCCACACGCACACACCCGCTTCTTCGCTATGCCCGCCCGTGACGATTGAGATGCAGGCGGCCACGCCTTGTCCGCCCCGTTCCTCGACTTCCCGCACGCACGCGCCATAATTCGCGTGAAGAGGCGCCAAACATCAAAGCGTAACAGGCAGAAGAAGGAAGAAACAAGGAAGCAAGTAGGCAGCATAAGTCAGTCAATAACTTTCCCCCACCCACCCAACAGCGAAGGGGGGTGGAGGCAGGAAGAGGAAGAGTATGATTTCATACGAAGAGAAGACACACACGTGTGCCTCCGTCGGTGCGGGTAGAGAGACACTCAGGTGAGGGGGCGCCGATGGACACCGCAGCAATCCCATCAGCCCCATGTTCGCTCGCTGATGCACGAGAGTCCTACCTGAAACTATTCCGGGTTTTGCTCATTCACGTTAATTTCCTATTTGTTTTTGTTATTCTTCTTTTTTGTTCTCCTTCCTCTTATTCCTCTCCGCTCACTCGCTTCCCACGCAACCCATCCGCTTCTCGGGGACCTACAATTCACTTTAACCGACATTTGCCCCCCTCTCTCCCCCCTTTTCTTTTTATGCTTTTGCTTTTTTGCTTCGTCGCCATCGCTTCCTCGCTGCTGTGGTTTACGGATCAAAACGGCTTCACGGGAAGGGCCAGTGCGGCCGCCTGCGGCAGCTCCTCAAGCCGCATCGTCTCCGCCACAAGCACAACATCAACGCCGAGGCACTCCGCAGCTGTCGCCGCGTCAGCGTGCTGCTGCACCTCCAAGAGCCGAATGGCCTCCGCCGTGGCGTGCAGCGGGAGCGTAAGCCAGCCGCTGTGGCGAAAGATGCTTTGCGCCCCCTCCACCCGCTGCTCCCCGCTTACGACCCGCTGCCGTGCGTGGGTGCAGCCCTCAATGATGGGCCCCCACCGCGTCATGGGCACCGTGCGGTCCACCTGCGGTCCATACACAACGAACGAGGACTGCTGCGGGCTTGTGGGATGCCCAGCCAAAAAGGTGTTCGCGTACATGCACGCCGCCGCAAACGTAAACTCATCTGGGCAGAAGATGCGCCGCATATGTCGAAACGGCGAAAGTGCAAGCTTATGCTCCACCGCGAGAAAAACTACGGCGGCATCTCCCACTTGAGAGGCAGAGGCTGCAGCAAGGTGTTTGCCTCCGCCGTTTTCAGGCGCCAACACGTACAACGTGCGGTTATGCCACGTGGTACGGATACGTATCCCATCCACGAGTTGTTGCCTGTACCCACGCAACACTTCACCCTCAAATGTCTGGGAAAATGAGGAGACGACGGTGCACGGGTGCGAGGGCTCCGCAGAGGCCGGGCTCGGACTCTGCTCCAACGGGTCCTTTATGGACGGCCCTTGGGGTCGACTGTTAATCATAAAAGCTTTGGCGCCCTGGTCGTCCATGGGGACCACCGGGGCCTGCCACGCACTCGTCGTAGATGCCATGGGACTCGTGCCGCGCGAATTGACATGAGCGGCCTGCCCTCCTGTAGGCGGCTCTGCCCGCACCGTCGCCGCCACAGAGAAAGGAAGTGGCGCAAAGGCCTCTGAAGACGCACACGGCTCAGGGCAGGAAAGAACAAACATGCACTTCTTTGCACACGGCCAGCAGTCGGAGCGCACTCTCGTTTTCCCCTCAAGGTGCTTCCCTGAGAGCCCCTTTGTCTTTTTGCACACAGAGCAGCGCCAGACCGGCGCGCTGCTGCTGCTCGTTGCACCCCCTGAGGCTGCGTTGTCGGTGACCGTAGGCACGGCGGCCCCCGGTGCCGAAGTGAAGGTGAACGGTGGCGACTGACGTTGCCGGTCCGCGACGGGGACGGAGTGCATGACGATGGGAGAGTTTTCCCTTGCCTGCGAGGACACGTTGTTTCGCGTGGCCGCCTCAACCCCCGGCTGTTTCCCGGCCGCCAACGACGCATCCACGGCAGTGGCAAATGGGTTGCTGCTCGCCGCTGTGCCCCTCCACGTCTGCGGGGCGCTGGCGAACGGGGACTTTGCCAGGAGAGCGGCCGCCGCAGCGAAGGGGTTCGACGCCGCTCCCGCTGTGGCCGCCGTTGCCGTCGCCAGGGGCTTCTCCGGGGAGGTGGACAAGGCCGGGTTGAAAAGGAACGGCGCCGTCACCACCTGCGCCGCGCCTCGCGACTCGGCGGGGGACTCCCGCACAAACGTGCACTTCTTTGCACACGGCCAGCAGTCGGAGCGCACTCTCGTTTTCCCCTCAAGGTGCTTCCCTGAGAGCCCCTTTGTCTTTTTGCACACAGAGCAGCGCCAGATGTCCATCTCCTGCGTCCCGCCGCCCGCCTCGCTTTCTCGCCTTGTATGACTTCAGAGAGAAAGAGAGAAAGAAAGCGAAAGCAACACTCGCCCACAGGCTCTTGCGCAACTTGTCCCCCTCTCTTTCTCCCGCCCCCCACCACAGCCTCCTTCCGTTTTTAATAATAATAATTATTAGTTTCTTTTCTCTTTTTGCAACCTCCGTTTCCGAAGGGACTTTTCCCTTCGCTCCAGTACAGGCCGGAGGCGAGGAGAGGAGGGAACAGCAGACGGACACTTCATCGCGGCTCTCCCTGCTCCGCTCGCTCAAACTCACAGCCGGCAGGCACCGCCTCCACGGGTGGGGCGGCGGGGTCCCCCACCTCCAACTCCCCCAGCCACCGCTGCGCCGTGTCGGTGCCGGTGCGGCAGAAAACCTCGTCCACGCGTGGAATGACGTCGTCGCGGAGGAGCCGCGTCCACGCCGCCACGCTCTGCCCCTCCAGCGCCCCGCCGCCCTCTGCCGGAAAGCTCGCCTGCGCGCCTTCCGCCTCACGTGCGGCCGCATCGTCCACGTCCGGCGCGCGTCCCTCGCTGGACCTCGCGGCAAGGAGGCAGAGCAGAATGTGCCGGACGGCAAGAGCCGCCGTCGCCGGGTCGTCGTGCTGGCAGGCGGACTGCACCACCACACAACACGTGGAGAGGCGGAGCGACGAGCGCCATCGGTGCGGGGGAGTCGACTGGTCGTCCACGGGACCGCCGCCGCCGTGCCACCTCCTTTCATCCCTGCGCTGCACCTCGCAGAACACGCGCCGCAGGACGTCGTGTCGGCGCCACGCATGCAGGCACTCAATGCAGAGGTCCGCGGAAGGCCAACGCCAGTCCTGCTCTCCGTAGACCTGCGTGAGGGTTGAGATAACATCTGAAGGCTGCGGCGGCGCCGGCGCAGGGGACTCGCACTCGGCGCAAAGAGAGTGAAAGACGCCGTTGCGGGCGGCTCGAAACACCATGCAAAACGCCTGTTGCCTCGCGTGCTGGCGTTCGCGGTGTCGACGTCGCGGCGACCAGCGCCGTGCGTCCGGCAGGTGCAGAAGTACACGCTGCAGGCTTCGCAGCGCGGCCCGCGTGCACTCCACCCATGCCTCCACGGCACAACGACGGCTCTCCTTCGCGCCGCCCGCTGTGATCGCCTGCCGCCGCAACGACGCCAATCCCTGCAGAACGTGATCAACCAGCCACACCGAAGCAAAACACGGCGCCGCCGAGGGGCCTGAAGGCGTGACGCCGTCCGACGGCTCAGCCAAAACGCGCGCCACCGCCTCGGCGTCGGCGGCATCGCCGCCCAGGAGGCCCGTCACCGCCTGAAGCGTCTGCAGAAAAAACGACGGTGTCACTGTGCCATGCGAGATCGCCGGCCCATCATCGTGGTGGGCGCTGCAAAGAAACGGCTGCAACTCCGCCAGCGGAAGCCGCATGCCCACGGCGATGAAGCGGCAAAAGGCCTCCCGCTTCACTGCATGCGCGGCGTGTCTGTTGCGCAGCACGCAGCAGCACACATCGCGGGCAACCGCCACAGTGTCTGTGCCGCGCTGCAGGCGACTCCAGAGCGCATCCTCCACCGCCCGCACATTGTGTCGTGCGCTGCTCTCCTCCCCTCCTGCGTCGCTCCACGCGACCAGGCGGCGCAGCACCTCGAGCGACAGCAGCAGTCCAGCGGGATGCAGCATCTCACCGTCCTCGGCGGCGTCCAGCAGTAACACTCGGAGAGCCTCCTTATGGAGCGCCAGCGACGCCGCCGGCCCCGCTTCTGCCTCCGCTGCCTTCAGTAACAGAAACCGTGCGTACGGCACGTGCCAACCGGTAACTGGCGCCCCTGCCGCCACGGGAGCAGAGGATCGCAGCGTCTGGTACACCGCACGGCCAACAAGCAGCGGCGCACCATGCCGCACGCAACACCGCAGCAAACTCACGGCAGAAGCTGGTGGGTGTGCGGACGGTGTCTCCGCGCCGGCCCCGCTTTGGGCTGGGGGTGGGTGGAGGAACAGGCGAAGCGCCACGCACCACGGCGTTGATGCCGCCCGCGGAGTCACGCCGTCCTCTGCGGTTCCTCTTCCCGCCCGTGCCATGGCGCACAGGAGCAGCTGCACCGCCTCCGACCACTCCGCCGCGGAGCTGGCCACGGGCCTTTCGGCGTCGCACATCGCCTCGCAGCCTGCAATTATCTGCTGCAGCGACGGGGCCCGTTGCCGGGGCCCCGCGGCGGCGGCGGCGGCCCCCTCCTCCTCGAGCACCGCAGCAGGCGCGTCGCTCGCTCCTGGGGCGTCTCGAAGAAAACGGCGCCGCAGCTGTTGCAGCAGCGCGTGCGGAGCGGCATCTAGCGCTGCCGCGGTGGCGCGGCCGTCGGTAGAGACGCAGCGGCGGTGCGGAATGCCTGCGGGGTGGGCGCCGGCGCGCGTCGATGGCGTGCGTCGGAGGCAAAAGGGTGCAGCAGCGGCAACGGAGGCAGTCACCACGCGGCGGCCACCGCCACACCGCATTGCCTCCCCAGCCGAGCAACTCCGCGTGCAGCGACCGCAAACGTTGACGCCACACAGAGAGAAATAGAGAGAGAGAGAGAGAGAGAAGAAAAAAATGTACCCTGCCCCTTTTTGGTGTAACTCTCGCCTTTTGTGCCTTCCCCACCCACGCTGAATAGCCCGGCGGAGACAGCAAAGCAAACAAAAGGTATTTATATATAAAGCAGACTGCGAGTCACGGGAAACCACAAGAAATTCACGTCTTCCCACGGCGAAAGATGATGCAGCAGTTACCAGTTTTAATTCTTTTTGCTTTTTTTTAATTTCTTTTTACGCAGACGCCGCTAGACACATGTGTACGCCCAATTCCCTTTAAGTAGGGCAGAAAAATCTGCAGTGTGGCTCGACTTCACTCTTCTTTTCCTCCTCCCTTTCTCTCTCTCTCTCTCATTCATTCATTCGTTTGTCTTTTTGTGTCGTTTTGTGTTGCGGAGCCCGTTGAGTTTCAGTTCACCTCTCTTTTTTCTCCCCCCTTTTTTTCTTTTCTATTTTATTTTCCTTTTTCCTCGGTTCTCCCGCCTCCTGCATTAACGTGGGCTGAAGTAAATAAATAAATCAGGGAGGAGGCACACACCGTGCGCTTGCCGGGGTCACGCCGCGGCTGCGGCGCCGTTCGCGCGTTTGCTCTGCAGGTCGTAGTTGTACACCCGCGAGATGTTGATCTGCAGGTTCGTCATCTGCTCCTGCACCCACGCGAGGTCCTCCTTCGTGTGCTGCAGGTTCGTCTCCGCGTTGGCGAGGTTCTTCGCCAACAGCTGCGCGGCCTCGTCGAAGGTGTACTCCACCATCACCTTCGCCCCCATCCAGAGATGCACCGTCTCCTGCGGCACCACCTCCGCCTCGCCAAAGACGGCGTCGGTGAGGCAGTAGTAGGAGCGCACGGCCCCCTGCTCCTCCTGCAGCCGCTTCTTGAGGAAGCTCAGCGCGTGCAGGGTCTTCTTGATGGTGGGGATCTTGTAGTCTAGGTTCGCCATGCTGCTCACGAGGCGCTTCTCCATGTGCTCGTACTTGGAGGACTCGAGGAGGAGGTTGCTGATGAGGGTGTCGGCGCCGCCGCCGTTCTTCACAAACGCGGCCATGTCGCTGATGTACTCCACCCGCGGGATGCCGCGGGCGTTTGCGTAGTCCTCCGCGAACGCGTACTGCTCCGCCGTCGTCATCGCCCCGTCGCCTCGCCTCGCTGTTTCCCCCTCCCGTTGATCCCTAGCGGCCTCCGTGCAGCCTGGCGTCACCCACCTCTACTGCCGCAGGGAAGTCGCGCGGGCGCCGGTGAAAGGCATGTGCGTGTGCGACGCAAATGACAGAGCGAAAGAGAAAGAAAGAAAGAAAAAAAAGAAGATAACTCACATGCGGAAAGAGAAGGGAAGTAATCATCGCCGCACAGGCGGCGTATGCCTGTGGAGGGAAGCGGCGTCACAGACCGCAGAGCTCCAAGCAAAAATCGAGCAGCGGCAGCAAGAGGGAAATACAAGAGGCTGAGCGCGCCCTTCACTCCCTCCCTCTCTCTTACACACACACACACACACGTCGTTCCTGAAGTCTGCAGAGGAGAGACGTAAGAATAACACGCCACGCAAGTTTTGCATCACTCGCCCGCAGTTTCCGGGAGCTGCACTTCCAGGAGCAAAAACGGCCGAACCTCCTCGCGAAACTGCGTGCTCTGCAGCCAAGCGGCGTCAGGCGGGGCAAAGAAAAGCACCAGCCGGCCTTCGTAGGCCTCCTGCAGAATCTCAATCGCGCCGCGGTGCACGTCCAGTGCCCCCTTCCCATGCTTCACAAAGTACCCCTTCTTCTTCGCGTAGCTCTCACAGAGCTCGTACGGCGACCACGCCTCCGCCTCATCGGCCCCCTCTACCTTGCGCAGGCCGTAGAGTCGTTCCAGTTGCAGATGCGACGCCAAAAAGGCCACACCACTCTGCGGGTCCCGCGTCTGGGCAATCTGGTGCGTGCCAACGACGGCCTGGAGCGGCCGCGGGACACCAAAGACAGGGAGGGCGAGACCGGGGGAATCAATCAGCACGACGCGCTCGGATGGAATGGGGATTGTCTGCAGGTGTTTTGTGTGCCCCGGCGTGGCGGAGACAGACACCACCTTTGTGCCACGGATGCAGTTGAGCAGGCTCGACTTCCCCACATTTGGGTGACCCACGACGCCAATGTGCAGCGTCGCCGCTTCCCCGCCAACACCGCCGCACAGGTCAGATGATTTGGCCTCACCCAACTCGCGACACCGCTGCAGCAGCGCGGAGATCATGTCCGAGACAATCTGAAGCTCCTTGTGTCCACGCCTATCGTGTTGTAGCTCCCGCTCCGCCTTATGCATGCCTTTGAAGTTGTCTGTCACCGCGTACGCAGACTCCCCCTCACCACTCGCTCCGTCGCGAGGACTGTCGTTGCCCGCTCCCTCCTCGTGGGAAGAGCCGCCACTTCCCTCCGCATCGTCGTCGTCGTCGTTGTTGTTGTTGCCCCCTGTGGGTGTCTCTGCCACCTGCAGCTTCCCTGTGCGGAGCTGCTCGTACAACTTTGTGCGTCGCTTCTGCTTCTTGCGCCGCTTCGCCGCGTTACCGGCCTCCTCCGCACCAAAGGCCGTTTCGGCTGCCGGGAGCGACGTAAAGGGGAGCAGCGGAATATCACACACCACACCGGTGGCCGCGGCTTCAGCGGCGTCCGCGGAGACCACGCCCGTCGCGTGGAAGTAGCGGGGCAGGAACTGCATCCAGCCGTCGAGGATGGGCCTCGGCACAAGGTCTGCCTTGTTGAGCAGCACAAGCGCGGGTTTTCTGCTCTGTCGCACAATGTACCGCAGGAGCGAGAGCGGCAGGTGCAGAATCGGGTAACGGATGTCGCAGACAATCACAACCACGTCGCTCTGCTCCACGGTGCGCCACAGCTGCCGCCAGACGTCAAGGTTGCGCTCGTGCGAGCTTAACTGCAGCGTCCGCAGGGGCGCCGGAAGCGGGTAGTTGTCCACCGCATGCAGATACGCCTGAAACCGCGCCTCCTCGCTTGCCTCGAGGGCGGCGTTGTCAGGAGGGCCCTCTCCGCTCCTCCCCTCCTCGCAAGCGTCATCATTGTCAGTGCTGTTATTATTTTCCAACGCCGTCGCCGCCGCCGCAGTCAGTGTCCACCCACGCGTCGGAAGCTCCACAGAAAACGGCATCAGCGCGGCGTCGGTGTGCCCCGGCATGTCGAACCACGAGCCAAAGGGAATACCGTTATCGTCCATGAAGCGCCGCTGCGCCAGTGGCTCATAGGAGCGCTTTTTGCGTGCGGCAACCTCGTCGGCCGTCTCCTTTAGAAACACACTGCGAATTCCCTTACGGTCGGCGCCGTACTTGTACTCCACCTGCACGCCTCCATCGCCGTGTTCGTCTCGGCTGCCGCTTCTGTCGCCGTCATGGCCGTGCCTGTGGTCGCCGTCGGTGACGCGTCTACGTTGGCCGTCCCCGTGCTCCTCCGCAGCCTGCTGCTTGCGCTGTCGCCGCTCCTGCAGCTGCTTCTTCTTCTGTTTCCCGCTAAACGCCGGCATCCCGTGATGGACGCACAGCAGCTTCTCGCCCGTGCAGGCAACAAAACCAACTCCACACTCCCACACACAACAGGAGAAAAGGACGGGATGAGAGGAGCAGCGTACGCGCCAAGGGAGGGGCCAACAGGCATCGTTACACGCCTCTCTCTCTCTCGCTCTTTCTTTCATTTTCGCTCCTCTTGACGTGTTTTGCCATGGCAGTAGTCCGTCTGGGTCGGGTTTCCCTGCCAGATACATGCGCGTGCAGCCACTGTAAAAAAAAAAAGAACACTGATTTAAGCCAGACGTATAAGTATATAGTAGCTAACTCTCATTTACATTCTTCCCTCAGTCGGGGAAAGGAGTTCGTTCACTTAGCACTCTCGATTGCTTCCTCGGCCTGTTGCGTCTGCGAGGCTGCGGGGTGACGCCTCAGTTGGTCTTCAACTGCACCATGTCCTCAAAGGCAAGCAGGGCGTTCTTCAGCTCCTTCCCCATCATGTCCAGCGTGAGCGCGATGGCGTGTATGCCCTCCGTGTCAGGGACCGTGATGGGCGTGGCGAAGCTCGCGGAGAAGTGCACGGAGCCGTGCGAGGAGGACGCCGTGGAGGAATCACCGCCGCCGCCGCCACCGCCCGACCACACCGCGTCCACCGAGCCGGCGGGTCCTGGCGAAGCGGCAGCAGCAGCGCCGCCGCGACGCGAATGCAGCTCTGAAACCGCCTCCTCCCCGGGGCGACAAGTCGGCTCCGTGGAGGACGCCCGCTCGCCCGCTCGCCCGCCGCGCTGCCCCGCCTTTTCCCGGCCTCCCGCGGCACACAGTGGCTCGTTTGGCCGCTGGCGCCCAAGTGCCGGTGGTGGTGCCGCCTCCCCAGCGCCCCCGACTTGCCGAGAGCGAGGACGCCCCGCGGCGGGCGTCGCGTTGCCGGTCTCCTGCGCCTTCCCTGAGGGGTCACTTACGTTGGGCGGGGCTCCCCCCTCGCCGGAATGCCCCGCGCCTCTGCCTAAGTGTGGGTGCCGTGCCTCATTTTCACGCTGCCGCTGCCGCTGCCGCCGCACTGCCGCGGTGATGGTTGCCAGAATGGCGCGGTGCTTCCTGCGGGATGACTCACCCACAAGGACGCGGAACTCCACGAGGCAGCTGGTGAGCTCCGACGCCAGCGAGGAGGAGGGGTGCGTCACGTAGAAGCTCAGGAGATTCACAAAGCGCTGCAGGCTGTGCTGCACGTCTCTGGCGACGGGGTAGATGTAGTAAAACAGGCGACGCATCTCAGGCGTGAAGTACGCCTTGTCCCGCATCAGCTTCCAGCTACACACCATGTTGTACACGAGGTTCGAAATACGGTAAAGCGCAGTGTGAACCGCTTCGCAGGCCTTCTGTGGGTACACCACCGGCTTTATGCCGCGCTCGTCCGCCGCAAATGGCATGATACGCGCGGTCTGTGCCATCTCCTGCCGCAGGCTCCGCACCTTGTTGAAGAGGTTGGAGATGCGGGCGTCGGGCTCCGGTACCTTGATGAACGTCGACACGTAAACGCCCGCAGAAGCCACTTCGTTCTCGCCTCCGCCACGCGGCTCTTGCGCCCCCGGCTCCCGTCGGCTGCTGAGGAGCTGTGGTTCATTGTGCAGGGGCTCCCGGTAGAAGTCCACAGTGTCGTCCATAATCTCGGCAATAGTTTGCAGAACGTGCATGCGCTTCTTCATCAGAAGCCTCCCGGGGCTAACCGGGAACACGAGAACCAAAATCAGGCAGTACACCACCACCGCAAAGGTGTTTTGCTGAATGCGGCCGATGGCCACCTCGGCGGACGACGCGGCCCCGCCAGCCAAACTCGGTATCCCAATGAAGTTGGTGGACATGCAGACTGGCCCGTACTTCTCTCCCGTGCGGAAGAATGTCATGACGGCGGTAATGACGCAGAGACTTGCAATAAAGTCGATCGTCGTTTTGCACAGCGAGGCCGCAAAGAAGCCAACCACGGTGCCAAACAGCGTACCGCCCAGCCGCGCCACGGATCCCTGCAGCACCTGCACTGGATTTACCCCCGACAGAAACGCAGTGATGGTTGGCCCCGCCAAAGTGAGAAACTCCGTGTCCTTGGAGGAGAGGAACAGCATGGAAATCAGCATGGCCACGCTAACCTTCCCCGCCTCAATAAGGACCCGCAGCTCCGCCTCCCCGTGCCTCAGCACGAGTCGCTTCAAGAAATTTATCTCACCTAAAAAAGGGTGTGTGAGGAGGTCCCACAACCGCTTTGGCGAGAACCGCGTGAGGTTCGGCCCCTCCGTCCGCATCTTGCGGTGAAACTCGTCAAGCGCCGACCAGAAGTTCACCACCGAGAAGACGAAGAACGACATGAGGGGGACAAACTCTCCCATCGCCTTGGCCTGCCGCTTCTCGTAAAAGAGCTCCCGGCTTGCCACATTGAACTCATCCTGCAGATTCTTGAAGTTGCGTCCACAGGCCTCAAAGAGGGAGTTGAGCTCCAGCAGTTCGCGACGGCTCCGCGCCTCTGCGAGGCCGCCAAGTAGTTCCTCCACGGCACGTGAGATGCCCTCCATCGAGTGGGAGAGGCTGGCGCCAAACTGGATGCAGTGGCTGGAGCCATCGATGATGTGGGGATTGTCCTGCACAATGTCAATCAGCCGCGACATGGAGTGCAGGTTCAGGCGCAGCTGGTCGAGCAGCTCCGTCTTCTCCAGCCGCACCTTGCGCCGCTCAAAGCTGTCAAAGAAGAGGAACTCGTAGAAGGTCAACTTCTCCACCCCGCCTAGCTTGTCAAGCAGCACATCTATCGAGCGCGTGACGTGCCGGATGCGCACCATCCCCATGCTGCGCGACGTATTTGAAGCTGCCCAGAAACAGGTCAACAAACCTCGAAACGCCGTCGCCGCGTTCACGCAGATGCGGTGTGACGTGGATTGCGCCATGCGGGTCGCCAAAACGGGGTACGGCAGGAGGGTACTGGCCACCCCAAAGAGAACCCCAACCAGCCAATGCACGAGTATGTGCGAGGGAAACGACAGGGCGGTTTTGCCGTTCATTTGGCTCACCAGTGAGACATTAAAGAGCACCAGAGCAACACGCTGCGTCGTGTCCCGCGTGAAGCAGGCAATGAGGAAAAGTAGGACAAAGTAAACCACAATGAATGCGGCGTAGCTACGGTGCAACTCCACCGCGGCACACGCTGTGGCGAGTGGAAGCCAAATGCAAGCGGCCTTCAGGAACGCCACCGTGAAGCTCAAAGAACCCCCCACACAGACGTCGGCGGCAAGAACGACGGCCGGCAGAGTGAATGAGGAGGACATAAATTCCAATTTTTCCTTACCTACGGCAATAATAACAGCAGGGACAAGCATGCCTATAAACGTTACACGCGCTGAGAACTGAATGAGAAACCAAAAGTTTTTTGTGCCGAGAAAGTCAAAGTAGCTGCAACCAGGGTCACTAACGGGCTCACGAAGCTGCCATGGAATATCCAAGTCTGCTCGCAGCACACCACTCTTTGGTGCCTTTGCTTTGCCTTTTTTTCTCACTCCTCCGCCGCCGCCGCCCTTTTTGTTCTTGCTGCTGCTGCTCCCACCTCCCCCTCCCTGAAGGGCATCGGGTGGCTCGGTCAAGTTGTAGCGGGATTCGTACGGGATGCAGCCAAAGCTGTCCAGCCGCGTCGCCAAGGCATCAGCCATGCCGCAGTTCCCCTCCTCGTGGCCGTCGAGCACCTCCGTCTCACGCCACGAGGGAGATAAGGAGTGCGCCCGCGAGCGCAGTTCCCTGCGGGGAAAGTCGCCAAAGCGGCGATGGGAAGCCGAGCGATGGGCGGGGGAGTTTGGGCTGCGGGGATCTTCATACACGCGCGCCAGAAAGTCGTTGCCTCGCATGATTTACGCCACACCCCGCAGGACCGCGTAGGCGCGTGCCGATCGTACAGGAGAGAGAGAAATAATAATGGTAATAATAAATGCAATAATATTAACCGTCAGCCAGAGGAAAGAAATTCAAAACAACAACAAAAAATTTAGAGCTGACACGGCGCACTTATTTGGACAAAAACAAACAAACAACAACCTAAAGTATAATATAAGGATATATGCGTGGAGACTGGCTGCAAGGCTATAAATGCCAAACAACGGACCCTCCAGGAAGGGCAGTGTGTGTGGGTGTGTTTGTGTGTGCGTGTGGGGAGGGAAGTGCGTATTTGTGTGTTAAGCTACGGCGCGTAAGGGGGGTGTCAGAGAACTAGGCGGAGGCAGAGAGAGAGAGGGAAAGCGTGAAGGACGGAAATAATGCAGGACCACGGTGTACAAGAAGAATAAGAAACTAATTAATAAAGGGACAGGGTCAAGTTACACAGATTTTTGTAAAAGAAAAAAAATTTATTTCCTCTTCGCTTTTTGTTGCCTTCCTTCGCAGCAGTCGTATACGCACATGTGTTTTCGCGGCGTGCCCGCACTATGGGCAGGCAGGAATGCCTTGAAACTCATATCATTTCAGTGCTGGAGCCAAACACAGTCGCGATGCCCACAGCGGGTGGAGGGGGAAAAAAAGAGCGACACGGCGGCCGACCCACCGCCCGCAGCGCCACGCACCGCTTGGGCCTCAGTACAGCAGGGAGGAGAGCCGCGAACGGGCGTCCTGGCTCTTGCGGTCCGCATGATAGAGCTGCAAGACACCCAACAGACACGTCTTCAGCTGCCGCACGCGCCTTGCACTTTCTGTCTCCTCCTTTGCCTTTGCCTTTACCTCCCCTTCTTCTGCCGGCGAAGCCTGCCGCCGCGACTGCAGCAGGTTGGATTTCAGCAAGGCGAACATCGCCTCCACCTCGTCACTGGGAAATTGCTCTGCCACCACACGCGTGTCCACCACGTCGTCAATCCAGTGGAGCATGCGTGCGGCGTACGCACTTGCCGCCGCGTCGGCGCCTGCAGCCTCCTGCCCCTGCTCCTCCTCCCGCTGCTGCTGATGCCTCCGCTGCTGCAGCACAACTTCGCCACGCACAAGTAGGACCTCGCAAAGTGAAATGAGGCGTCGCACAGTGGGGTCAGCGAGAGCAGGGGAAAGGTCGCGTTGCATGGCGTTCAACGCAAAAACAATGTTCTCCGCCGCTATGTTGCCGATGCTTGCGTGAACCCGGGCCAAAAAGAGTGCCTCCAGCGCGGATAGCACGGCGAAGGCCATGTACTGCGAAGAGCGGTGATATCGCGTGTGAAGCTCGGTCTCACTGAGGCGTCGCACGTCCATTCCAAGTTCCTTGCGCAGCTCTTGTAGCTCGTCAAATGCCTTCTTTTTTGCTTGCTGAATTGTCTTTCGTAGGCCGTCAATTTGCTCGCTCTCCTCCGGGAGTCGAATGTGCTCTGGGCCAACGAGCGCGTCCATGATTCGGTTCTGCAAGTACTGCGTGGAGGCGCCGTGCAAAAGGTCGGCGGTGGCTGCGGCCGGCAAGGGATTTTGCCGCTCCGGCGCCCCGCCGCGCATCAAATCTACGTTCAGCTGTTGCTGATAGTGGTCGAGGAACTTGCGCAGAATGCCCTCCAGCCGCGACTCCACCACGTGACCTGTGACCTTGTCGATAATGGTGCCCTGCATGATGAAGTAGGTCACGGGCAGCTTGGCCCGCTCCACCGAGAAGGCGGAGGCAAGGTTCCTGTTTTCGTCGGCGTTAATTGTACACAGCTTTAGCCAAGCCTTCTGCGTCGGTGCACTCGCCTGCGTGTCGCCGTCGCCGCCAGTCTCGTTTCCAGTGCCCGAGACCTCCTTGTTGAGCCGATTCACAAGGCGTTCCGCGTGTGCCAGGTAGGCGTTGCAGCTGCTACTGTCCGGTCGGTGGTACACCAGGCAGATGGCTTGCTGCGACTGAATAACTTCGCTCTCAAACGAGGCGGCATCCGTCTTGTATGCGACACCACGACGCGGGGTTAAAAGACAGGCATGCGCCGTCATTCTTGGCAGTTGCCCACTGTTTCTCATGCAACTCCGCAGTTGCACCCCCACGCATGAAGACGCACGCATGGCACCGATATTGCCGGCGTGAATTCGACGCTCCAGTGCGAGAAGCCGGGGCGGTGGGGCTCGCAACATGCCCACACCACCCTTGCGCATGGACGATGGGTACACTATAGCTGCGGCGACTAACGTCTCTTGTGACGATGATCTCGGTGTGTGTGGGTGTGTGTGGCGGAGAGAGCGATGGATTTGGACGGAGAGAGAGAGGGAGAGAGAGAGAGAGAGCTTCTTTCATTTGTGTCCGGCACGCGGGCGGAGCTTCGATGGGCCGCTTGCGCCGGTCAAGTTGGTTTACGTGCCGTGCCGGGGCGTCGGGCGCGAACTCAGCCACCATTGCGAGGCCGCTCGTGCAGACGCCGTTAGTTTTCCCCTCTTGCGCCGCACGCAAAAAGGGGCAACTCCCCCCCCCCCCCGCCGCCTCTCCCTGTCGCTGCTGCTGTGAGGGTTGGGTGGGGAGAAAAGCCACAGTAAACCGAAGGAAACGGAAAAGGGCTCCTTCCGGCCGGAATCGAACCAGCGACCCTGTGATCACTGCCCATGGCTCTACAGTCACATGCTCTACCAATTGAGCTACAGAAGGTCGGCGCCGCCGTTCACTTTCCCCTTTGGGCCTCCCACCACTGTTTTATGCCGCCCTCTCTCACCCTCCTCCTCCTCCCTTCCCTTTGCTTTCAGGCCACCCACCCTTCCCTTGCCCGCGTGCGGGTGCGTGCGTGGCTCCGCCTTCCGGCCTAAGCT